AAACCTGCTCTTTGCCTTGTTAGTTGTGAGGGCCATTCCGAACAGGCTGGTGGAGGTTGAGGTATACAAGTTTGCTTAAAGGAATTTTGAGGGATAAAGACAGAATTGGTATATGGAAGAAATTCCAGAGATTTTCCTATAATTTATGATCCTGGGATTTGGGATGTGGGAGTGCAGAGCAGAGTTTAAGGCGGGGATACAGGGATTGCATACTGCTGACTCAGTTGTGGTTTGTGGCTGTTTAATCAGCAGAGATAGTGTTGCCATCATCATATATCCTAGAGAAGTCATTTTCCTTTGGTTTTGGAGTTGGTTTTCTGTGCTTCACGGTCTTCTGTTTCTCATATTTTTATTTATGTTTTATTTTATTGATATTTATTTATTAAATTAATTAAACAAATTAATTTTTTGTTTCTTAGATGTTTGTTTCTAGCCTTGTAGACAATTAAAAGGTTTTGTATCGGAGTTAGGGAACACGATGGCCATCAGTTTTAGTTCCATCATTTACAGATACTTTTAATCAGTGCTTTTTTTGTAAAAAAAAAAAAAAAAAAGGTGCTGGAACTCACACATGTCATACAACCCGCCTTGCCTACCCTACAAGGTTCCATCCAAAAAAGGTGCTGGAACTCCGTTTTGGGTGTTCTATGACAAAAAAGCCCTGCTTTTAATTAAAAAAAAAATCTGGCATGCTGCAAAATAAACATCAGCCTGGAACATTTATATACTACTAAAACTCTTATTGTCATGATCTTTAACTGAGTGAAATAATGCACCATAGTTTTTGAACCAAGGTAGCACAAATGGGCTAACTTACAGAATACATCCAAAATCCAGGACCTGTGATTCCCAAAGGCAATAAAATTTATAATAATAATAATAATAAAGTTGGAAGGGACCTTGAAGTTGTGGCCGCTTTAGTGCTCCTGACTGCTGCTGTGATGCTGCTATAGTCAAATGCTCTTCACTTTCAACATTCCGTGACAATTTCCAAGCCAATCTCACAATCCTCGCACCCTCCTTCTTCAATAGCAGCCACTTACCTGCATGCTGGAAAGGGAAGAGAAGAAGATTTCTGATGCTCCCTGACAGATTCCCATGAGGAAACTCAATGGGGAAGCCAGCAGGAAGTCAGAAGTCATTTCTGCTCCCACTGCTTTCTTGCCCACCCTTGGTCAATCTGTTTTTTTGTTTAGGTAAAAAAAAAATCTCTAAACCAATGACCCAATGGGGCATGCGTTATCTAATCATCTCTATATATTTACATAATTTATTTATTTTTCCTTGCATTGCATTATTGTAATTCATGATGGTTTTTTTTAAAAAAAATTGTATGGATTGTTCACTGCCCAAAGTTGTGTATTTAGAAGGGGTGGCTATATCAATTTCCTAAATAAAATAATATTAATTTGCTTAAATTTTAATTCTGTTTGATCAGAAATAAACCCAGATTTAGTTTTCCAGCCATATACTTTTGGAACAGAATTTCTGGCATGCCACAAAAAGGTCTTGGGCAGCCTTCAACTGGAGAAAAACAAATGGAACAATCCTGTTTTATAAGATGTGTATGGAACTTTAAGCCTGACTGTATATTTGGATTGTTGTTGTGACACTAAGAGAAACAGGCTTGTTCTGAACTATTTTAAAAGCTTGATTGGGTGCTCTCAGAAAAATTAACTGGGCTCCTTTGGAGGAACATGAGAAGAACTTTGTTGGATCAGGCCACGAGACCCCTTCTCCAGGATCCTGCTTCTCACAGGCGTTTCCAGGCAGAGAATTGAAACAAAGGAGTTCCCCTTTAGCTACTTTTCCCATCAACTAGCAAATTACCATTTCTGCATGCAAAAGTCCCCTGGAACAATAAATCACTCTTTCCAACAGGAATCCTCAGCCAACAGAAAGGAAGCCAAAACTAAGGCATGGGAAATGAGTGGGGTGAATCAACAGGCTTGGGGGCAGTTCAAGATTTGGCAGAGCAGTGTACTAAATCCTAATAAGGACCCTCTTGGTAGAACACAAATACTTTGCAGTGGGCTGATGTCACATTTTGGTTTTGTTTCTTTTTCCTTGTTGGTTGCGTTGTGACCTTTATTGAGTCCAAACTCTTTAACTTTTGAGGACAGTGAAATCTTAGTCAGCCTCCCACTGTCTGACTTGGGATTGTACTGGCTGGGAATGTCTGCATAAAATCTAGTCTATAACAAGATGTGTGGGATGAGATTTAACCATTATAAAGCTGGGCTGAATAAAGAGGGAAAGAAGGAAGAAGCAGTGTTCCCAAAGGCACTTTCTTCCTTTCCTAGCATTATTACTTTCACTCTGTTGCTAAAATCAAGTTCTTGATGGAAAATTCAACAAGATCCAATTGGGGGAGGTTTGCTGGGAGAATAGAGGTTGATTGATTATTGCTGAAGGATACATCAAATGGCTAGTGTGACTCTGGATGGAAAAATTCCACAGTTTATGCTCTTTCTTTCTCGTTTTCCCATTCCAGGTCCATACTGTGGCAGTGCATATCCTCCTCACTCAGTCTTGGTAATCAATTCCACCTCCATAACCATCTTATTCAACAGTACAAAACATCGCTCAGGTCGTGGCTTCCTTCTTTCTTATGCCAGTGGCAACCGGTCAGGTAGGGAATACATCTCCATTGCATATTGCTTCAGCTGCCGATGCTGCACACTGTTAAAAACAAAAACAACACTGATAATGTTACTTACGTCTGCAAGAAGACCACCAAGCTCGGACAGCCCCAAGCCCCAAGCCTGGTTCATTAGAGCCAGCAGAATTCTAAAGGGAACATTTACAGCTGGTCTTCATCTTGAAAGAATTGCCACAAGGCGTTACAATGTGCATTGCCATGAGTATTTATGAGTCACTACTCCTCCCATGTGGCATCTTGCAATCTGTGGGATGAAATCATGAAAACAGGTCGCTTGGAATTTCTTTATCTGGTGAAAACTGAAAATAGCACTGGTAGCTGTCCATATTGGAATACGTTGCATTCCTCATATTGGTTTCTCATTTTTTTTTTCTGTTCAGTTGTGTTTTATTCTTAAAGAATGACTGGAGAAGTCCCTGCAGTTTTCTTGGCAAGGTTTTTCAGAAGCGGTTTGCCATTGCCTCAGTCCTAGGCTGAGAGAAAGTGACTGGCCCAACATGGTTCAAATGACTTCATACCCAATGCGGGACTAGAACTCACAGTCTCCCAATTCTCCTGATGCCTTAACCACTAAACAAACTGGCTCTATCTTGCAATTTATTTAGGGCAGGGGTCTTCAAACTTGGCCCTTTTATGACTTGTGGACTTCAACTCCCAGAATTCCAGTCGGTCCGTGCGACCGACTCCTTAAGACCCTCGACTTCAGGTGTTCAGTATTTTCCCGGTTCAAACTTCTGGAGACTAGATCCCCAGGGTTTAGAATAAGTCGGTCTCCTTTGTAAATAAATAAATAATAAATAAAATAAATAATAAGCTTAAATATAGGGCGGGAAGAGGAACGCCTGAGTCCCGCCGACTGTTAGTATTAAAAACACCAATACAATTACAAAATTAAAATTAATTAAAATGAAATATTTAAATTGTCTGATTAAAATATGATTAAAAACCCCTCTAAAAACCCCTCTTAAAAATTGCCCTAGGCCAGTCCCGCTTGTTGGAATAGCCATGTCTTGAGGGCGCGGCGGAAGGAAGGGAGATCAGGGATCACCCTGATCTCTGGGGGTAGCTCATTCCAGTGTGTATTGTGGACATGCACATAGGTGTGACCATAGCAGATATGTTCAGCCATACACATTTACCAGAAGCAATGAAGTTACAATCCAAAAACTAGAACTAGAATTTTTGGATTTTTTTAAGTGAGCAAAAGGACTTATATTTTCTAGTACTTCGTTTTTAAATGCAAAGGCAAAATAAATGTATTGAAGTTTAGGCATACTTACACCAAACTAAAAATGAATGGACATATAAAAGAGAAATAAAAGAGATAGTTTTAGGATTCAGAAATCCAGGGGGGGGGAAACCAGATCAAACAGCTCCATGTGACTCTAGAGTGCTTTCTGGGACTTGCATATTTTTCCTCAGAGTTTTTCTCTTTAGATTACTGTCTGGTGTATCTGATTCACTTGGAGGTAATGAAAGACAGAGTCCAAAGTACATTACACACTTAGTTTTTAAACAATATTAATGGTATCTTCTATTTTCAGTATTAATATTTTTCATGCCTGCTTCTTCTAAACAGACAAAAATGTAGAAATACTCCATTGCTGAGAATTCAGCAAATTGCAGCATCTTTGTAGCCAGAAGGAAAAAATGTGCAATGTTTACCGAAAATTCAACAAATGCTTCATGATTATATAAATAAAGTCACAAAGATATTCTCTGCATGCAAGAAATTTCAGCAGTAAGCTTGTACTGTCACTTGTACTTTCACTTGAACGAGAGTTGCCTCAATCTTTTTGCTGCAAAATGACTTTACCCATTTCAGCACCTCAGAAAACTGGGATGGAGACTTGATCCCATTTCAAATTAGTTTATGAGCCGACCGTCATCAGGTGCAAAAAAAGTCAGGAACCAGGATACTGGTTCAAAAGTACTATAAGTTTATTCCTTGCTATCTATACACAAGAGTTTGAACTTCTAATGGTCAAGGCAAATTGGCGCCAGATAAAAATCAATGGACTTCAAGGGGGGGCTGGACTTAGGTCTCTTATGGGGTGTAGAGACTCTAAACTGATGATGCATTTGACCCCACCATCAGGCTCAGCATAGAAATCTTTCCTTAATGACAAAAAACAAATTGAAAACCCACCTCCCTTATTTCTCAAACGTAAAGATTAATACAATTGCTTCCATCATCTGGACTTTTGTGACAATTTCTAATTGCTTTGTTCCTAAATTTATGTATTAATATAAATACAAATGTTGAAATGGGGGTGCTACAACCCCCATGATAACACCCACCTTCTAAACTGCTGTGTTGTCTCATTCTCGCTTTCAGATTTGATTTCATGCTTGCAAAAAGGCATTCATTATAACACAGAACAAATCAGGTAAGAATCCTGAAGGCAGGACAAGAAGCAACAGATGGAAACTAATCAAGGAGAGAAGCAACCTAGAACTAAGGAGAAACTTCCTGACAGTTAGAACAATTAACCAGTGGAACAACCTGCCTCCAGAAGCGGTGAATGCTCCAACACTGGAAGTTTTTAAGAAGAGGCTGGACAGCCATTTGTCTGAAATGGTATAGGGGTTCCTGCCTGAGCAGGGGGTTAGACTAGATGACCTCCAAGGTCCCTTCCAACGTTGTTGTTGTTGTTATTATTATTATTATTATTATTATTATTATTATTATTATTATTAGAATTTCTGATAAAACCGTCCTGGTTGCTTCTAAATAAAGATCTTTTATGCAATAGAACAAAAGGAAATGAGCTTATTAAAGCACAAGTATGTGCAACTGCAATAGGGGAAGGAAGTTTAAACCTGGGTTTAAACCCTAGTTTTAATTTTCTAATTGTTTCAGAAATGGTAGCTTTGGAAGCAGTTTTCAACAGGTCAAGGATACACAGACCTTTTTTCTGTTAAGAAAAGGACACTTTAAACATTATTTCCATCAGCTCTATTTCTCTGCCTTTGTTTAAAAAATCGCCAACTTTGGCTAATCTCAAAAAAAGCAAGCAGATCCAGTTATGAGTTTGTGCTGTATTTTGCTGTATTTCCTGAGATCATGTTTCTCAGTCTTGGCCACTTTAAGATATGTGGACTTCAATTCCCTGAATTCCTCAGCATTTCTCAACCGTGGCAACTTCCCCAGCATGCTGGCTGGGAAATTCTGGGAGTTGTAGTCCACACATCTTAAAAATGCTGAATTTGAGAAACATTGCTTTAGTTCTTGCTGCTACCCTAAAGTAAGGACTGAAATCTGTCTGCTTTTTGGTGCAATTGGCTCATTGTGTTTTTATGCGATAAAAAGGAACCTACAAAACATAGAAATACCATCTGAACTATTTGAATCTTAGTTGGCTAACAGTCTTGCATCTGTCTTTCTCTGTCTCTCTCACACAAATCATGTTCTTTTCTATTATTTTTATGCAGAGCTTATTGTCCTGCAGGCTGCAAGAGAGTGGCTGGTGACATCTGGGGAAATGTGAATCAAGGATACCGAGATGTGAGTTGCTCATTGTTGATCATGCATTCAAATGTGCTCTTGTTCAAAAAGTGGTGGCTTCAGAAGGTTATTTTCCTGAGGACATGGAACTTCCAAATGCTAACTGTTTGCAAGACCATTCCTGTTCCCATTTCAAGAGAAACTTTGCTTGAGGCAATCAAGTTCAACTTTCTTTGTGAAGAAGTGGTGCGCTGACCGTGGTCCTGACTTCGTTGGCCTTGATTTTTGTTAATCTTGACCCCTATATCTTTCAGTTTAATGATATGGATTTCAGATTGGGACATGGGGAAAGGGAGTTGATATAGAGCAGGGGTGTCAAACTGCCGGCCCGTGGGCCGGACATGTCACGTGGAAGCCGCGCCCACCCCATTTCTGGCAATGGGAAAACCGTCCCGATACGTTGCGCGACGTCACGTGACGTCGCGAGTTTGACATGCCTGATATAGAGTCTGGTCCACAAAGTGTAGTAATTTATAGATGGTGTGATCAAGAATAAGATTGTTTCAGCTGAAGCCTATATTTGTGGAATTCTAACTCAAGAAAGATTTACATATCTCATAAGCCCAGGACTTCAAATCAGCTCTATATACTATTCGTTTCAAGTAACTTTCTCTTTTCACAATTATCAACTATTGCTATTTTAAATTTATTTCAATTGCCTGTGATTATATTTACTTGATATTAGACTCCTTTTAAACTGTTCACACTATTCTAGTTTAAGCTGTTTGAATATGGTTAATGCTATTTTGGGTTAATGCTATTTTTATATATTGGAAGCCACTGTGTGAGATCAGAGTCCTTAAAGGCAGCCTAATTATATCTCTAATTAAGAATAATTTTTGTTATGGCCCACCTTTTAAGCAAAGAATAGAAAAGCATCAACATGACTCAAGGCAAGGGGGGGGGAAACAACCAAAATCTGCAAGACATTATAGCAAAAAATCAAAGCATTTTTAAACAGCAGCAAAATGGTGCGGCCGAGACTGAAAATCCTTGCCCTCCCCCCCTTCCTTCTTTTGATCTCCCACAGCTGGACATATTAATGTATTCGAGGACGGTCCTACTGGCCCTGCGCGATTCACCCCTCGCGCAGGCCTGGCCCATCAAGATCACTAGGGCCCACCTTGAGGATGGGGTTTGGAACCCCGAGAGGTGGCATGCTGCGGGTNTCTGCTTCAGTAAACGGATCCGTTTGGATTTAATGTATGCAGCCTTGAAAGGAGATGAATGCTCCATTGCTGGAATTAATGTTGATTAATATTAGGAACTTCTCAGGCATTTGTCACTAAAGCAGCATCCACATGCTACCCTCGGGCTTCTGAACAAGCTTGTCCACATATAACATAACCAACATCTGTTTTTTTTTTTTTTTATTTTCTTGTTTTCCCCTCTGAACTCATTAGACTCAGAGAAGTTTGTTGGGGATACTAATGAGGTGGGACACTATTAAAATATATATACAATTTCTGCACATTTCACTTAAATGCACTGTTTTAGAATCTCTGGTGCATTCATCCCCAAAGCAACAACGTGTGAAAAGTTATTTGAGTGGCACAAATTTCCTGACAAGTAAACAGCCAGCTAGTTTGTGTCTATATTTAAAAGTTAACCATCTTGCTCTTTTTTTTTTAAGACATGCAAAATCACAACACTGCAGAGATTGAGAAGCTGTCGAAATGGTTCAATAGGTGAGGTTACATCTGGAGCCTTGTTATCCCTGCCTCATCTTAATTTCATCACTAGGATTTTTTTTTTTTTACTACTACTCATCCCACAGGTATTCGTGTGATGATGATTTGCGGTTCATAATATCATCATAAATATAGTGCAAATATACATAAATGAAACTGTGATGGAATATAGTGGGCCAGAATCCCAGGAAAGAGGAATTGCATTCCATAGGAAGAGGAAGAGGAAGGGGAAGAGGAAGAGGTGACAACTCTGCTAAGATATCATATGCAAAAGAAAGTGGGTGAAGATAGCTCCTCCCTAATAGTTCCCAGAATGTGTGCTTCATGAGGGTAATAGTCTGAATTAGACTATTAATCACTTCTTATTTGCATGTTTCAGATTGAACTTAACCAAATATTTGATAACTCCAGGAACCCTCTTCTTGTATATGAGTAATTGGGACATAAACTTGGAAGTTGTCATAATTGGCTATGGAGTATGTATTTGGTCATTGATTGCATTGCAACCAGGTAGTGTCTTTGCTATATCCTTCTCATCAGGGCTCCTTGGTACTCTCTGAGCTTGGTTGTTTTCTTGCAGATGTTGCATTATCCATATTAGGTAACATCCTCAACACCGAGGATGTCACCTAGTTTGGGTAATGAAACATCTCATTTCAACCCCGAGCTACAAATATTCTTCTTTATCGATATCCTTCTCAACTGTGAAAGCAACATAACTTTTTTTCCTTTGGTTTTCATATCCAGAGCATTTTCTTATACTGAAAATATCCAGTTTTGTTCTATTCCAAATTGCGGATGCCTAAGATACCAATATTTGTTTAATTCGTTTCAACATTCATTGTGTTCAGCTTTCTCATGTTGGCGTCCATCCTTTTTAAGTTCCGTGTTTCCACTGTAATTCTAGCTTTGCAGCTTCGGATTTTCTTTCTCAACATGGTGACATCAGCAACTACTTGTCCTGAAGCCTTTAATCTAGTCCTGTTAAGATACCATTAGCACTATGAAAGCTTCTCAGCTCTTCCTCAGTATCAGTGCTATCTGACTTCAGAGTCCCGTCACCCATCACTGTATTGTCATTTACATTTTTCTATTTATGTGGTTTTCTTGGGAGAACGTGGGAGTAGTATGAAATGATGCCTTTGCTGTTGCACTAAAGTGATCTCCAGCATGGCCCTATATCTCTGCTATCCAATATTAGCTGGGCAGCTGGGATGACTGTTAGAAGTAAAGTCTTCATCCTGGTTCATCCAAGCCGGGAATAAATAAGCAACATGGCGACTGCTTTGGGAAGATGGTTACAGTTTATTGAAGAAGCAGAAAGATCGTTCTTGCAGGAAAGAGCAGAGGAGAGAAGGGCTGAGCACATGGGCAAGGGGTTTTTTATACCCTCTCTAGCCTTTTGTTTGGAAGTTTCCTGTTCCTGTGGCATGAACTTTGAGGCTATTTCCTGTATCACGTATTATGACCTGAGCCTAGGTGTGCCTCTCTGGTATACTTGATGGTAATGGGGTTAGGCCTATTATGTCCTAAAAGTCATATCCTGCTTCCCTGGTGATGGGGCTAATGACTCCTAGAGTTTGGGTGGGGTATGCAGATTTTCTCTTTGTCTTCTTGAGTTCTCTGGCTCCAACTTTCTAATGGTTTTGATACTGTGGACCATGGTATCATGCTGCGGCGTCTCGGTGAGTTAGGAGTGGGAGGCACTGTTATGCAGTGGTTCTCCTCCTTCCTCACCGACCGTACGCAGTCTGTATTGGCAGGGGGACAGAGGTCGACTCCTAGGCCCCTAACTTGTGGGGTGCCTCAGGGGTCGGTCCTCTCTCCCTTACTGTTCAATATTTATGTGAAGCTGCTGGGAGAGATCATTCGGGGCTTTGGGGTGGAGTTCCACCAGTACGCTGATGATACTCAGCTGTACATCTCCACCCCAGGTCACCCCAACGATGCCCTTGACGTGATGACCCGCTGCCTGGAGGCCGTACGGGTCTGGATGGGGAGGAACAGACTCAGACTCAACCCTTCCAA